CATCAGCCCCGAGATTTCTCCTGATGGCCTCCACCCGACCGTGCCTGTCTTAGGTTGTTCCTCCCACGAGGAATCTTACCCGTCATTGACTAACCGGCCATCCTTTGGAGCCAAACAGGGAGACGCAAGGTGTATGAGCAGTGTCCTCAAAAGGGTCAGTTTAGGGTTAAGCATGGGGGGACAGATGGCTGAACAGCTGTGTGGCAACAGGCCTTAACTCTTCAGTCACCAGGGTGGGGTGCTCACAGCCTGTCTGGTGATATTGAGGCAGCAGGAAAGTTGAAGCTTTAAAACTGACAATTACCATCGACTCTGGTGTCACAACCTCATTAACAACACTAAGTGGGATGGATAACACTTGCCTCTTGGGTTGTGCTGATGTTAAATGTGACCAGAATAGTGTGGTCTAGCCACGGAAGGCAAGGTTTGATAAAGGTGACAACTAAGAGGAGACCTACTAGGTATATGACGAGGGTGTGAAACCTAGGCTGCCACTGCACTTAACAGGGAAGCCAAGAGTACAGGTCAGGCACCTCTGGGTTTAAGGGAATCTGGTGGAAGGTTTTGGTTATGTTATGAAAGATTTTTCACCTCATGGCCTAATCCTAGTAACTTGGCCTGTACCTGTCCAGAGTTATTAACGTACATGCAACAGAAGGTACCCTAAATGTCACAGATACCCCCTTTCCTGGCTAGTAAACGGTCATGAGCCTATCTGTTATCCATGACCATTGGGGCTTAGAGACTTGTGGGCTTTTTGCATAAGGACAGTGTTTCATGCTGCCTTTGTATGTCATCTGAGAGGACCTCCAGAAGGTGGCTCATTGATCTTGACAAAGACTATTGTACTAGTGCCAATGCAGGCATCTCCTGCAGTATGGCAAGTCCTATTAAGATGGGAATAAACATTGTCTGTTTCACCCAGTGTCCTTAGGCTGATGGAAAAGCAGAGATACCCGGTGGATAAAGAACTGTGGGGACCCCCAGCGTAACCACAACACACTGGGGTACAGTTTCATTGGGAGTCAGCAGGTTAAAGTATATAGGGTGCTGTGCCCATGAATTTGGGCCACAATAAAATCCAAAGGTGTCATTGGGTAAAGCATCATGTGCCCATGAAGTTGTTAGCATGAGGAGGTGAAGGTCCTGGGTACAAGCGGTAAGCCTGTCGGGTAACTTGATTCTAACGGGCAGCTGTCCCGGGTGTAAGTGGACATGGATCCTGACTGGGTCCTGGCAGTACCAGTTGTGGGCAGTGCTGGGCTGTTTAACTCATGGACAACTCGGAAAATGTATGTTGGGTCCCTTCAAAGGTAAAAGTGAACTGGGGCTGTGACTGATTAGTAATATACTGGTCACATCCACCATGTTAAAATAGTCACTGAGTGCCCTTTGGAGATCTTCATTTAATTCGAATATGTTAGATATCAGAGCCTTGATGGGAACTTGAGCTTGAGGTTTCGATAATCAGTAAAGTGGCATTGTTGGTGGAAGCCTTTAAATACGGACCAGATAGGCCTACTGAAAGGAGAACTAGTGGGATAACTGCCCCTTCTCTCAGCCAGCAGGCCAAAAGTACACTGCTTCAGGCAGTACTGACGTGTGTTTACTGCCTTCACCAGTGGGGCTGCTCCACAGGTTCTCTCTGTGGCTCTGACTAGCTCGGCCAGGGACTTTAGCTTGTTTCAGCGGTGAGCGTGACATGCTGTTTAATAATAAGTGATGGGCAGCTGTTTAATAAAGATTGTTGAACTGTCCCTGTAGTTTAAAAGGGGTGCCTCCTTGAAATTTGAATGGGTTGCCTAGAATGATGGTAACGTGGGCTCTTGTGTCCAGTAAAGCTAGGAAATGTATAGTTTTAGAGCTCTGATGAACCACCAGAGTTGTTTATAGGTGGTTGTTCCTTGGTGGTATGACCAGGGGCTGGCTGAATCCCCATTGGAGAGGCCTTGGTGGTTGCCAATTTCAGAGCTGGGGGCACCCTTGGGTGGACTCAGAGAAGTAGTTCCCTGAGCTGCCAGACCTGTGGGTAATGGGTGAGGCTCTTTAAATATCTCCTTTAGTTATTGTAATTTGGGGGTAGCTTGCCTAGTAATTCATTCATGAGACACCCACCTGGAGGCAGTAGGGCATCAGCAAGTCCAGAAAGAAGGAGCAGGCTGAACGGCAGAGGTGGGCAATGCTAGAAGGCGGGTGTACAAGTCAGACTTTGTGAGTCAGGTGGGTGGAGCTGTCATGGCAGGTGAGAAGATCAGTTCCATCCACTACCTCAGGTTTGGTGTAGACATACGCCTACCCTGTATCAGGAGGAGTGCCTGCAAGAACAACTGTTGGACTCTGTGACAAAGGGGGCCTCCTCTGGATTAGAAATGTGTTCAGGGTTTTACTTGTCTGAATGTTCAACGAACTGACAGATCTGCTGAACCACTGCAATTTTTGTGGAGGAGTATGTGAGCTTCTGTGATACTTTTCCATTGGCCACCTCCAGGCCATGAAGGTCAAGTCAGTATCAGCAGGGCTTCTGAATCCTGAGTGGTAGAGTATTCAGGTTCCTCATCTGAGGCTTTTATGATCTTATCAAAAGTTCTCATCTCTGTCATGCCTGCCCTGGTATTTGGGACATCCTCTCATCCCTGGGCTGCCTTGTGTTCTTGCTGCTCATGAGGCCCCCACTGATCTGGGAGCTTGTCAGGTCCAGCTGCACAGCAGGCCCTTTGTCACAGTGACCTCAGGCCCCTCATTCTGCCAGTAGTCCCATGGACTCAGGACTGGCTGTGACAGAAACACTGTTATGAGGGGGCTGCCCCCTCCCACCAAAGTTGACATGCACTTCATCAGCATTTCTCTGCTTTCAGGTTGCTGGTGTGGAGCAGAGGCTGAGGAGGCGACTTCCGAGCAGGGTGTCAATGTAGAAGGAGAGCTCAGAGCAAACCTGCACCAACACCCGAAGCTGCACTGTGGAGAGAAACCCTTAAGAAGAGAAGAGGAGGGGCAGAGTGAGAAGGAATCCCTGACTAGCTCTGGCCTTAACCATCAGGAGACTCACAGCAGAAGGGAGCCACATAGGAACACCGAAATTGGGGAGGCCTTTTGTCCTGGAAAAAGGCGTTACAAGTGCAGTGAATGTGGAAAAGCTTTTGGTCAGAAATACTTACTTGTTCAGCACCAGAGACTACACACTGGAGAAAAGCCTTACGAATGCAGCGAATGCAGGAAATTATTTAGCCATAAGTCCAACCTTTTTATACACCAAATAGTTCACACTGGTGAAAGGCCTTATGGGTGCAGTGAATGTGGAAAATCCTTTAGCCGCAATGCCGACCTCATTCAACACCAGAGAGTTCACACTGGAGAAAAGCCTTTTACATGCAGTGAATGTGGGAAAGCCTTCAGACATAATTCCACACTTGTTCAGCACCACAGAATCCACACTGGAGTAAGGCCTTATGAGTGCAGCGAGTGTGGGAAATTCTTTAGCTTCAACTCAAGCCTCATGAAACACCAGAGAGTTCACACTGGAGAGAGACCTTATAAGTGCAGTGTATGTGGGAAATTCTATAGCCACAAGTCAAGCCTTATCAATCATTGGAGAGTTCACACTGGAGAAAAGCCTTATGAGTGCAGGGAATGTGGGAAATTTTTTAGCCAAAGCTCTAGCCTCATGCAACACCACAAAGTTCACACTGGAGAAAAGCCTTTTAAGTGCAATGAATGTGGAAGATTCTTTAGCGAGAATTCCAGCCTCGTTAAACATCAGAGGGTTCACACTGGAGCAAGACCTTATGAGTGCAGGGAATGTGGGAAATTTTTTCGCCACAGCTCCAGCCTTGTTAAACATCGGAGGATTCACACTGGAGAGATGCCTTATGAGTGCAGTGATTGTGGGAAATCGTTTAGCCAGCGTTTCAACCTCATGCAACACCAGAAAGTTCACAGAGAAGTCTTGAATGCAGCTAATGTGGAAAAGCCTTTACCCAAAGATCTGCTCTGATTCAGCAACAGAAACTTCACAACCCAGATAGGCCTTATGAATGCAGTGAATGTGAAGAGAGGCATCAGACAAAGGCTTAATTAACCTTGTTTGGCGCCAGAAAGTTCAGACTGAAGAACGGCCTTAGACGTGCAGGGCTTGTGCTATCTCCTCGTCAAACTAACCTAACAGAGAAGCTCTGAGAATAGCTCTTATCAGGGAGCCAGAAATTGAAAATCAGTCATCCAGATATACCCCCTGGGGGCAGGATGAGAATTTCTGGCATCCTAACCCTCCTGAGAAGATAGCCCTCTGCCTGGGAGCTCCAAGGGGAGAGAGCTCTGTGTTCTTGGCTGTATCAGTTTGGAGTGGAGTTTTCATCTCTCTGAGTTTGGAAGAGGGGGAGAGGGAGTGGTCTTGGTTCAGATGCGACTGGCACTTGCTGTTCTTACTGAATATTAGATTTTTCTTAAACAGATGTTTCTTCATTTGCTATATATCCTTAGGAACATTTCCAGAGACTTTAAATTGTGTTTTAATAATTTCCACCATTTTTAATGGGAAGCAGGCCCACAAAGCTTCTCACACTGTCATGCTGGAAGTTGATCCAAATATTTTACTTTTTAAGAACTTGCCAAATTGTATTCTAAATGGGTATGCCATGTCACGTTTCCTCCTGGAGTATACTGGAATGTCTAGTTTTTTCACATCCTGCTGACCTTTGTATATAAGATAGGCCATTCATTTTAGCTGTTCTAATAGGTGTGTAGTAGTGTTCCTTTGTTTTAATTTGCATTTCTCTAATGACTCACTGTTGACCATTTTCCCTTATGTTTATCTGCCATCGTATATCTTCTTCAGTGAATTATCTGTTCATATCTTTTGCCTACTATTAAAATAATTGTTTTGCACTTTAATGTACTCTGGATACAAGTTCCTCATTTGATATACGCTTGACCAATATTCTCTCTCAGTCTATGGCTTTGGTTTTCATTTTTTAGGAGTATCTTTCCTAGAGCAGAATTTCTTAATTTTCATGAAGTCCAATTTATCCATTTGTTTTATTTATTTATTTTTATTATTTTTTAAAGATTTTATTGGGGAATTGGGGGAGGGGAACAGCGTTGGGGAATCAAGGAAGGGGAACAGACAGGTAGACAAATTGCTGTTTTGTTTTTCAGTCTAGTTGTGGAGGACGTGGCTTCACTGGCCCA